ACGGACGGAATTTTGGGAACGGTGAAATGTGTACTCACTGTATTTCCCCTCCTAATAGCGGACACCTTCAAATAGCGGACGACATTTAAGCGACCGATAGTGTCCGGTATTTAGAGGTTTCACTGTATAATAATTGTAATCGTTTGATATTTGATTGTAAACTAATTTTAGGTTTATGCTTTTTTTAACATTTTAAAAGATAGTATAAGCACTTTATCGTAATCGTTAAGCTTTAATAGTTTATACTTGAAGCTAATAAAAAAAAAAGGTATGGAATGTGACTCATAGGTATATCCATGCTGGTTCGAGGATTGACTTCAAAACGTYCTTTTGTATAATAACGAGTGTAAAATCAACATATAAATAATTAACTACTTACATCGTTATTATGACCAAACTTGGTGATTTATGTTTTTTATCAACTATGTATTTATAATTTATAATTCATGTTTACCGATTACTTAATATAAGTGAAAAATATTACAATTGTATAAACAAGTCAGATCTGACAGTATAAACATTGCGATTATTTCTTAAATTGAGTTATACCTACACAAAAAGTACCTATCTTTTATGATTTAACATATGGAAATAGATTAAGATGGTCAAATACTTAATATGTTATTAAGTATTACGGCACGGTAGACAATTTATATTCATGAGATACGACTTAATTATATAAAGAATAAATTAGTCTCATTGACTATTTTATTGCTGGTATATGATTAAGATGAGTTGAAAATGTTAGATTACTAGACTTGTTGTTTAGGAATTCATAATATTCGAGAAATAATCTATTCACCTACTATAACTTTACATAGCCTTATAGGTGAACAGAGGTTAATAGGTACCTACTGCAGTCTGCAATGTTATCAATACATTAAGTGGATATCAAATGACAATATGACAATTTAGAAACAAGAAGTGCCAGATTAAAATCAAGTATAGCCCTAGGCACATTATTATTTTAAAGTTCATTATAGAAAAAAACATTATTTTTAAAAATTCTCTTCCAGCGGCCCCTGTTCTATATATCCCTATATATCCCTAGGCATGGRCCAACTTCGCCTAATTGTTAATCCGGCACTGATAATATTTATGTCTTGTAAGCACTAGCTATTAATACGTAGGTAATTTTCTTTCATAGAATTTTATGTATTTAGATTATTATTTTTTATTCTGATAATAATATGCTTCCTATTTCTTCTTCTTTTCCTTCGCTTTCTCTCCCAACTTTTTAGGGTCGTCTACCCTGGTCCTAAATTTYCACATACTACGATCCTCAACATCCTCTTCACAAACACCAGTCATTCTCATATCGCCATCTATAACTTCAAACCATCTCTTTTTTGGTCTTCCTCTTCCCCCTTTTCCAAGCACACTCATGTTGGGTACACACGAATTGCGTACCAAAACAGGTAGACGAACCTTTTTGAACGAATTGCGCCCCGGATGCAATTCGTGTTAGTTTTTCATCTACTGTTAATTATTGTAAGTGGTTCCTAAAATGATATTGTCATAATAAAGATATGCCAATATATATATATATTAAAATATAAATATAAAAATAATTAAATTTAATTGTAAAAATATAATAATGTCATAATAATATAAATTATAAGTCATAATT